TTTTTTCTATATCTCCATAATCCTCAGGAGCAGAAAAAATGAACTGAACAGTTGACAAAAACAAGGCTTTTATTTTAAGAATAATTCTTACTGAAGTTGACAGACTTTTTGAACAAATGGAGTCTGATCATGCTAGTAGTGAATTTAACACAGAAAACTGGACCAAAATCTCCGTCTATCCAGGTGGAAATGAAATAGATGAAGGCTGACTATAAATGCTATTTTGGAAATAAGAGTTAGAGCTCATTTTCGATTTAAAAAAAAAAAACCGATGTTTCCACACAAACATATGCACAAATTCCAAAAGATTTTCCCAGCATTATCAAACCAGAGATAGGTTTGTTGAAAACAGTGTGAAGAAAGTGTTTGAAGTTGGTTTATAATTATCACCACCCCCCCAGCTCAGAAATATACTTCTTTATTGCACAAAAATATAATTGGGTTTTGAGGGTCATGCAAAAAAATGTTTTAAATGGTCATTAATTTTACAGTTTTTATTGTTAGCAAAGTATTCATTCTTAATCTTTAATTTTTTTTCCTTTTTTTTTTTTGTGGCTAGCTGGTGCTGGGATCCAAACTCTTGACCTTGGTGTTATGTATTTTAGTTTATTTTATGTAAGGTTTAGTTTATTTATTTATTTATTTATTTATTTATTTATTTATTTATTTATTTATTTATTTATTCCTTTTTTTTGTCTATTTTCGTGTCCGGCAACAGATCGCAACCCTCAGTGTCGCGCCCGTACCGGACCGGGACCGGCAACGGGATCGCAACCCTTGGTGCTGCGCCCACACCAGTCTTAGCCCAGCCAAACTATGCATATTAGATGGTCTTTAAAGAGTAGAAAGGTCTAGGTTTGGCAGTGCGCCACCGGGCTGGCCCTAGTTTATTTTTAAAATAAATATTTCCATGTTGATTCTGAGAAGAAAAAGAAAAAAATTAAACAAAACTTTTTATTTTATCTGCCATTAATACTAAAATGATTAATATTTATATTTTTATAAATTTACATTTTTTGTTTTGTAATGTTTCTAAATCTTTGTGTTTGAGATATATTAAATATTTGCTTTTACCAATTTGTGTCTTTATGAATTCATAACACTTTTAAATCAAGTATTAGTATTAATATGCAAAGTAGACACTTTCATTTTGCTCCAGTAAGCAGTCACTCTTTCAGAAGGTATCTAAGTGACACTTCAGATGAGACCTAAAAGATGAGAGGACTTAGCCAAAGAAAGGGAAGTTGTGGGAAGAATGTTCTAACAGAGTTTTTTTGGATGAAAAAGGCATAGAGAGCAACTGAAAGAGTTCAATGTATTTGGTTCTGAGGGTTTAGAAGGATAGAGATAGGTCTGAGTTGAGGCTGGAGTGATAGGCCGGTGACAGGTTATGGGGACCTTTGGGAAAGCCATGAAGTGTATCTGAGAACCTTTGGGAAAGCGGAGGAGGATGTTAAGTTTAGTTGTGGTTGGTCAGGTTTGCATTTTGGAAGGATCACCTGGCTGTTGTGTGAATGAGTTGGATAAGAGCAAACCAGTAAGAAGACTGTTATAAATACTCAAGCAAGGGATGACTAGGGTGAATCAGTGGCAGTGGGATGGAGAACAGGTAAATAGATTTGAGGAATGTTTAGGAACTAGAATTCACAGGGCATGGTAGTGGGTCTGGCAGGAGCAACTGGGCAAATGTGGTGGCAGTTGCTGAAACAGGGACTGCAGGGATAGCTCTATAGGTTTATGGGGGGAAGTTGATGGGTTTGCATTTGCAGATGCCCATGGGACAGACAGTTTCATTAGGTAAATGTGAAGATCTAGGGCTTGGAGAAGTCTGGAGTAGACATGTAGACTTTTGAGAGTGTCAACATGGAGATGGCAGTTGAAGTTCTGAGAGCGGATGGAATATTCAAATGGAAAGAGGAAGGGAAGGTAGCAACAGCCAGAGTGGTAGAAGGAAAATCATTAGAGGTGATGTCATTGAAGCAGGAAGTAGGAGTGTTTCTAGAAAAAATGAAATGATCATCTGAATTAGATGTGGAGAATTTGAGCAAGGTAAGGACCACAAGTATAGTATTTGTTTTAACTTTAAGGCAGTCCTTGGTGATCTGTGCAGTGGAAGTCAGATGATGATAATTCTGAAGTGAGGAGTTAGATCGCTGTTTCAAGAAGCTTCCAGTGGAAGAAAGGAGAGGAGAGGGAATTCTAGTTCTGGAGGGTAATAAGGAGTTTAGAGTAAGTGTGTTTGTAAAGATGAGATGCGAGCCTGATTAGATGATGATGGTAATGAGCAAGTAGAAGGGGAGATATTGAAGACAGAGAGGATGATCGTGGCATCAGCTTCCCTGGGAAGGAGGAATGAGTGGCAGCCAGGATGGAGGCGGGGATTAGGTTTTGAACTGTAAGGAAAAGGAAGCATGTCTGAAAACAGGTAAAATTGCGGGAATGATGGTAGATAACAAGGAACTTTGCTTCTGAAATGGCTTCTTTATTTTCTTTGTGATGTAGACAGCATTGTCACTTGCGAAGACTGAGAAGAAGATAGGTGTGGGAGTTTGAAGGAGGAGAGAGAATGTTTGCAGTGTTTGCTCTGGAGAATCTGACAGAGAGCTGACTAGGGAAAGCTGGAGGATGTGCAGCAGCTCAGATTGATGATAAATTGACAACAGCCCTGTACCTTCATGAACTTCTTCAGCAGCAGAGAACCGCAATCGCACCTGCCCTTCCTGAGGCACGTGGTGTGTATTTGAAGAGTTTCTAGAGAGTTGGATTTTGGTCGAGTCCATGAAGTGCAAGGAACCAGAGTATAGAGTTATAGTGTTAAAAAGAAAAACTTTAGGCAAATTAAATTTAACAGAGTTTAATCTGGTAAAGAATGATTCATGAATCACGCAGCTGCCACAACCAGAACAGGTTCAGAGCAACTCCAGGGCCATGCGTGGTCAGCTAAGATTTCTAGATCAAAAAAGGAAAGCGACCTACAGAAAATGGCAGTGAGGCACAGCAACGACTGGATTGGGTACAGTGGGCCTTTGTTTCATTTGAACACGGTTTGAACAGTTGGGCTGCCTGTGATTGACTGAGACTCAGCTCCTTGTTACAAGAGTAGATTACAGTCTGCTTAGACATCAAGTTAAGTTATAGTTCACTCTATCTGAAGAAACCTTTTAGGCCAAACTTTATTTAACAATAGTGAATGTGACTCACGCTCATCTTGCACACATCACTATTTTCTGTGCTGCAATACTGCAATGTCCTCTGAAGTTATTAAAGGGTGTTGACCCCTTTGCTCCTACAGTAAATGGCCCCAGACTGCTGTCTTGTTTTTCTTTAAGTTCCTGTCCGCTCTTTTATGCTATTTCTGTCTCCTCCCCTTTCTGTTTTCTCCCTCGTTGTCAGTTGTTTATCACATTGCTGTCTGCATGCAAGTCTGTATCAGCCCTACACCCTGGACCTTGTCAGCATCTGGAATTGTCATACCTGTGAAATAAAGCTGTGGGCTGAAGACCAGACAACCAAGCTTATTAGAGTTGTGTACAAAGTAAGAGTAAATCACCCCTGAGTGTGATTATCTGTGCTGTGCTTTGAGGTGTTTATGAGTGTTTGTACATGAAACTTGTGACATCTGTTGGCTTGTTTCTCAGTTGTCCGTATATGAAATGTTTGTCGCCTGTGTTCCCATTGTGTTTTCCTTATTTTGAATCTCCATGGATTATGATAATAGTGTTAGAGAGCCCTCAGTATTGATGATTATATCTTTTGCAGTCTTTCCTAAGTACTTGTATTTTCATATGCATTTACATACATTTTAAAACTGCATGATTAGACATTTTATGCTGTTGTTTCTTATTATCCTCATGGATTTTCAAATACTTATTTATTTTTTATGGGCATAACATGTACGTTCAAATATACATGTATTTTGTATGAGTGTAATGTACCATGTCACATGTCACATGTCAATGAAATAGAACAATATACAGTAAGTATTTTGGAAGTTTGAAAAAAAAGTTATCTACTCCATCTTTTCATGAATTTCTGTGTTTTATGGACTTCCTCATCTATGAATATCTCATGTACATATCAACAATTTTAATTTTTTTAAAGAAGTATATACTTGGGTGCACAGTAAATATCACTTTCAAATTTTCTATAAATTAACTTAATTTTAATCCTGACCTTTATTGTCAGGAGGCAGGTAAATTCAACACCATTTGGAGGCTTTCCCCACTCCCCAAGGTTGTGCTAAGGTTTGGGACCTTGGAAAATTCCAGAACATTGAGAAGAGGCTTGACCCATCAGTCACCTGGCCATACTGGTTATCTAGGAGATGCCTTTTCTCTCAGCCACACTTGGCCTGCAGGTTCTGTGGCCTCAGATGCCTTTTGTGCTTACTCCATGGAAACCATTAGTAACGGCCAGAGCCCTGGGTGCAGGCTCCTGCTTCCCTGGGGCAGCCCGAGCTCTTTCCTCTGAGCGCCTCCTGCATCATACATGGGCTACCTGCGACCAGAGTGCTACTCAGCTGTGACATCACTTTCCTCTTTCCAGGTCAGGAGAATCTTTTTTAATCTGGGGGAAATCCCTCTCTTTTCAAATTCTACTCTCAATAAGTTTAGGATTTTTTTTTTTTAACTAAAGCTAAAAAGTCCTGACATAAACCTTCCCTTAGGCACGGAAGCACACACAATGTAACCTATTTAAATGGTGGAATATAGGGAGAAAACACTAATTTCTTTTAAAACAAATAGTAGAGTAGTAAGTTGTACAGAAGTAAAGAACTCAACAGGCCACTTCTGTTTGGTGTGATCTCCTCTGGAACTAAACCTGTGTAACCAAGTCCTTGTTTTAATAACTCACTGAAGAATATTTAATAATAGTTAAATGTTTACATTTTATTGATATAGAGTAATTTCTGAGTGGTGATTTTAAATACTGAGCAGAATATAACATTTTCAAAGTGTTAGATAAATTTTCTAAATTTGTTTTATCTTATTTTACCTAAGAACACTGGAACTATTTTGGGGCTGATGAAAATCTTGGTCCGGTGGCTGTGAGCATTCGAAGGGAAAAACCAGAAGAAATGAAAGAAAATGGATCTGCATATAACTACCGAATAATTTTTAGAACTAGCGAGGTAAGTTACAAATGAGAAAGGTTTGAGGCTTCACTGAAGTGGGAAAAAAATAGACTCGTAGAAGTAGCAAAACAATTAAATTTAATAATAACATGTGGGTACAAATGTCTTTGGAATAAACAGAGGCCCCTTTCATTCATTTAGGTGGTGATGGACGTGGGCAAGATGGTTAGATCTGGATCCTTTCTTTCCATCTAGCTCTGGATAGATGCAATAAATGATTGGTGGGTCTTGATTCACGGAAAGCTGTGTTCATTAAGTGTGGCTCAAGGAAATTGGAGCCCTCAGAATCCCAAATGGGATGTTTCCTGTCCTGCTTGGGGCAGCTGGAAAGCATCGAGCCAGCTTGAGGAGCCAGGGGACTTATGGACCAGAAAAGGCCACCAAAGACTTAATTTACTCTTCCAAGCTATTGCTTAGGTCACTTTTGGACCCAAGAAGAGGGAAAGAGGCTCTTTTCCTCTTCTACTTTCACTTTGCCGTAGAATGCTGGCTATTTGAACCAGGGGCTATCTAAGTGTGGGTGAAAAAGGCTCTTGGAGCTTTTTAGGAACCTAAATACAGAAAATATATAAGTTTTTATTTTAAAATAAAGCTTGGGGTAAAAAGGAAAAGTAAAAGAAAATGGCCAACAAAACTTTTTTTTTTTAACTCATGAATAAGTTTGGGACTATGAGGTTCTTTGTTTTCTTTCTAAATCTATATAATTGTGCCAGTTATCAAATTTGTTGCCTCAGAGCTCCTAATTCACTTTAGGATTTTTGTTGTGCATTAATCAAACTCATGAATAAGTTTGGGACTATGAGGTTCTTTGTTTTCTTTCTAAATCTATATAATTGTGCCTGTTATCAAATTTGTTGCCTCAGAGCTCCTAATTCACTTTAGGATTTTTGTTGTGCATTAATCCCTAAATACTCCCTTGAGATATCTAGAAAATAATGGTTTTGAAAATAGTTTAAATAGGGCATTTGGCTTCATTTCCCCCACTGAATGCAAGGCAAGTTTCAGGAGTTGGCTTCACTTAGTAATTGTTCCTAAGCTTGAACTCTGGGGAAATTAGAAATAGGATTTTTAAAGGCAAGACTTTAGTATCTAATGTGTTGTTTATAGTGGCCACAGAAATGAGGAATTAACGTGCTCCAATGTGTGTTTTTTCCATGTCAAAGCTAATCATTAAGTAGTGTAAATTCTTTTGTTGAGCATGAAGAGCACAGAGGATGTACTTGTGTTTTGGATTTGTAGATGGGTGTTGCTTATTTCTAGCTTTCCGGATCCCACCAGATTTCTTTCTTTTTGGGGGGTGGGTAGGGATTTATACCAATTTGTTTTATATAAAAGGATATTTTCACATAGTAGCCAGCTAGGAGTACCTGTTTTTTTTTTTTTTTTTCCCCCAGTTGACCTCTTGGCACATGAGTTGTTTGTTCTGTCTTTTTTTTAATTGAAGCATAATTGATAATTGATTATACATATTTGTGGGGTAGAAAGTTGACTATCAGTAGTTGTATACAATACATTATAGTCAAATCAGGATAGTAAACTTATTCATCATTACAATATGTAATCATTCTTTGCATCTGTTAACCAATTTCTCATTAATTTCTTATTAACCCTCCTTTCCACTCCCCCTTTCCACTTATAGTAACCACAGTTTTGTTCTTTCCTTCTGAAAGTTCAGTGTATTATTGTGATTGTTGTTTGTTTCTTTCTCTCTCTCTCTTTCTGTATTGTTTATTTGTTTATTAATTTAGCTGCCACTTACAAGTGAGGACATGTGGTATTTTTGTTTCTGTGCCTGGGTTGTTTCCCTTAACATAATTTTCTCCAGGCTCATTCATGTTGCTGAGGATGGCAGAATTTCATTCTTTTTTATGACTGAGTAGTATTCCATTGTGTATATGTACCACGTTTTCCTTATCCAGTCATCTGTTGTTGGACATTTAAGTTGGTTCCATATCTTTGCTGTTGTAAATAGAGCTGCGATAAACATGAGAGTGCAAGTATCCCTTCAACATGATGATTTTCATTCCTTTGGGTGTATACCTAGTAGTAGGATTGCTGGTTTGTATGGCAGTTCTATCTGTAGTTGTTTAAGGAAACTCCATACTATGCTCCGTAATGGCTATAACTAATTTATGGTGCCAGCAGCAGTGTAGAAGGGTTCTCCTTTGTCCACATCCTTGCCAGCATTTGTTATTCTCTGTCTTTTTGATAATAACCAGTCTAACTGGTGTAAGATGATACCTGAAAGTGGTTTTGATTACCATTTCCCTGATGATTAGTGATGTTGAGCATTTTTTCATGTGTCTATTGGTCATTTATATGTCCTCCTTTGAGATGTCTATTCCGCTCCTTTGCCCATTTTAAAATTGTATTATTTGGGGTTTTTTACTGTAAAGTTTTTTGAGTTCCTTGTATATTCTGGATATTAATCTCTTGTCAGATTTATAGTTTGCAAATATTTTCTCCCATTCTATAGGTTGTCTTTTTACTCTGTTGATTGAAAGGTCCAAGTCAAATGTTGTTCAAAAAACCATTACCACACGTTTTCAAAGTTCAGTTTAATGTTCAGTTTCTGGCAACTCTACTTATTTCATTTGTTTAGGCCAGCAAACTTGAAGTCGCACTTGACTCCTCTCTTCTCCCTCCTACTCCCCAAATCTGGTCTGTCAGCAGCACTTGTTGATTTGCCTTCAAAGTATGTCCAGAACTCGGCTAGTTCTCTACTTCTCCCAGCCTCACTGTTTAGGCCTGGGCCTGGTTTTACTCAGAACTGGTCTTCCTTCTTCTGCCCTGAACCCTGCCTCCTTTCAACCCAGCAGGGATCCTTTTGAAATGTAATCCAGATCTTGTCATTCCTCAGTTCGAAGTCCTTTAGGGGTTTCCAGTAACCCTGTGAATAAAGGCCAGTGTCCTTGCTAGCGTGGGAGACCCTGCCCATCAGCTTCTTAGTTACCTCTGCAGCCTAATCTCATATCTCCTAACTTCCCCGGCTCAGTCTTTTCCAGCCACAGAGGAAAGGCCTCTTTCCCCTTGGGACCACCTCAATACACCTTTGCCCCAGGGCTTTGATACTCCCTCGTTCTCTCCTCCCCCACCCCCATCCCCTTGGTGACCCCATTTCCTTCTGTCCTTTAGTCATAAATCACAGGGACTTCCTTGGATCTAAAATTCCTACCCCCTCCCCCATTTCATATCCAATTCAATGCTTTATTTTTCATTAATACTTAATGCTGTCTTATATATTGTACTTATTTTGTTTGCTTTCAGTCTCCACTGGAATGAAAGCCCCATGAGGGTGGGGACGTTTATCTCAGTTGTTCATTACTACATGCCTGGTGGACCTCTTCCTCCGTTCTCTTCCTCCCACCACTCCCTCCCTCCCTTCCTTCCTCTGTTTATTTAACTTATTGCTACTATCTTTTGTGTAATTTTTCTCTTTCCAATAAAAATAATCCTTAAATGTGGTTTAATTGTGTTCTCTTCCTCCCACCACTCCCTCCCTCCCTTCCTTCCTCTGTTTATTTAACTTATTGCCACTATCTTTTGTGTAATTTTTCTCTTTCCAATAAAAATAATCCTTAAATGTGGTTTAATTGTAATGTTTTTATAAGTCCTTTAATAGAAATAAATTAACAAAAGTCCTTTGATAGAAGTATTTCTGTATGTTGGTCCCTGTACATAGCTCCTGGATTTTGTGGGACAGTCATCTCATGTTTTTCATTGAAGCCAGTTTACTAGATACATAATGAAGTAAGATTTAATTGTGTTAGGGACTTCTCATGTTATTAATTTCTCATGCTGATGAGTACATCAAGAAAAAATAAAACATGGTCATCATAATGGCACCCCAGTGGCTTCAGTAAATGGCATCAAGATAATAAATATAGGGCTGGCCCGGTGGCGCACTGGAGAGTGCGCCGCTCAGGAGCACGGTGGCGCTCCTGCTGAGGGTTCGGATCCCATATGGAGACCGGTTCCCGCTCACTGGCTGAGCGCAGTGCGGGCGCAACACCGAGGGTTGCGATCCCATTGCTGGTCTCTGGTACGGGCGCGACACCGAGGGTTGCGATCCCGTTACCAGTCAGTAAAAAAGACAAAAAGGAAAAAAAAAAGATAATAAATATAAACAAATCTCTTTCATTTCAGTAGAAGTAATTATTACATAACATAAACAAAAAAGACCATACATATATTTCTGGTGTGGTAGTTTGTTTATGAACAAAATTTTATGGCATGTGAGTGTTTTTTTAAGCATAGGACACAAGGACTTATGAGGACTCTTGTTTCTGTAAGTCATTAACAAAAATGTCAGTAACAATAATAATTCAAATGTAAAAAATGAGTCATTCTTTTTCTCATCTGCTCTGACTTCTGTGAAGTTAGCTGCTGTCTTTCTGTGGCTCAGGATGCAGTGATTCACATTTCTGGTCTTGACTTCCAAATTGAGGAT